CTCATTCATATACATATGAAACAACCAGAAATCAATTAAACGCTGACTGCTCTAAGCACGACAGGCTAGTCCGGCAAATGAGTATTTGCGTGTTGTGTTATTTATTTCGGATTGGAGGTGAAGAGAAGACCAAAAGAGATATTTGGTTCCATAAACAGTAAGGCAAGTTGGAATGCCCCGGTGGTGGTAAGTGAGGGAGCAAAAAGGGAAATTAATTTCTGGCAAAAGAAAATTTGGGATGTAAATGGAATAAACATAAGTAACGTAACTGACGTGGACTATAACTAACTTGTGTTCACGGATGCTTCTGGCGACGGTTATGGTGGGTATAGAGTGCAGGAGGAGAACTCTTTTGTTTTTGGAAACTGGTCATTATTTTGGAAAATGGTCATTATATAGCAAAAAGGGAAATTAATTTCGGAGAGAGCTAGAGGCAGTCAGGCGAATGTTAAACTCTAAAGGAGCATTGCCTGGAAGGGCATAGAGTGCAGTGGCACACAGACAACCAGAATGTTTTCAAGATTGTTGAGAAAGGCAGTAGAAAGCCAGGTCTGCATGAAATTGCAGTCGACATATATAATACATGTGAAGAGAAAGGTATTTGTATCAAACCATTTTGGGTTAGGAGAGATAGAAATGTGACAGCTAATGAATTGAGCAGAGTCAGAGATAGTGATGATTGGTGCATAGAGGATCGCACCTATAGGTGGCTAGAGGCAATTTGGGGAACTCACACATGCGACAGGTTCGCAAATAATTTGAATACCAAATGTGTGTGTTTTAATTCAAGGTGGTGGGTACCTGGTACAAGTGGGATTGATGCTTTTGAACAGCCATGGGGTTCTGGAGTGAGTCTATGGGTTCCTCCTCCAAGACTGATTTGTAAAACAGTAAAGAAGGCTGTAGATGAGAAAGCAAGGGGAACTTTGATGTTCCAGTGTGGAAATCTGCACCATTTTGGCCAACAACTCATAGCAAAAATGGTTTTAAGGATTTTGTGAAAGAATTCAAAGTATTGGACTCTAGTATTGTTAAAAAAGGGCTTGGAAAGAATGGTATTTTTGGGGACAGGAAGACCAGATTTAAAATGGTGGCATTGCGTATCATAGCATAAATGATTGTATGTTTGCAGGCCTAGGGATCCAGGAGGCTATACATACTGAAGTGTCAAAAGGAGGATGTTTGACGGGGAACATAAGGACCCTGGCGGAGAGTGTGTCTACACATATAGTTAAATCCAGAAGTGACAGCACAAATTCAAAATATTATAGAGATTTTCAAAGTGGGAAAGATTTATCACAGCAGAAGGTGCATGTGCTATTCCAGGACAACCTATCCATGTGGCTTTATACATCACAAAGTTGTTGAACGACCATGTTTCATTCACATCTATACAGGGTGCATTCTACGCTATAAAGTGGGCACACAATTTACGAGGATTAATGGATCAACCTGACAATCAGTTTGTGTCTTGCATTTTGGAGTCAGCCAAGAGACAGAACAGTGTACCAGTTACAGTGGGTTTTTTGGCCTGATCTACAGCCGTCTAATGGCTGCTTCCCCTAGTCTGAAAATTACGTATTTTCCCAAAATAAAAACATATTTTCCCAAATAGAATACCTGTTAATTTAGTCTTTGTATGTTTATTGTTGCAATCTATGCAATCCAAAACATGTATGTTAAAATACATAAGTCGTTCTCCCGAACGATAATAACTTCAGCGATCGGAAATTTTCCGTTTCTGAGCAAGGGGAGAGAAGTCAAATCCGAATATTCGAATCTAGGACATGATATCGTTTGATACGGTCTTCGGAATTTCAAGCGTCAAATTGACAACTGCTTTGATTCGCGGATGGCATCCGGTTCTACACCATGTCACATAATTCAAAATACTTCACTAAAAACATCAGAAAAATTGATTCCAAAGGACTGACTTACATAAGCAATGCATTCAATGAAGCTACAAAGTCTTGTAGACACAGAGACGATCCCGTCATTTGCTTAGTTGACTCGTGTGTGCCTGATCTGGGCTTTTATCTGCTAGGAGTGAAAAAACTCTTTACCATCTTTCAGAATCGGAATTTGCTTTTCTTATAGTGTTGTGAGACACACATCTGCGTGACACTGTTGTATGACAAATACATCACCTGTGACACATCCAATCAGTCTTTCATGTCCCAAAGGTCAACAAGAAAACCCTCCATTTTTTCTGTTGTCTCGCAAATTGCCAAGTAAACACACATAAATATTGCCTTTACTGCCTCCCTGTTCCTGTCAAGTTCTATATCTCCAAGTTCAGTAACCCCTCTGTCACAGAATGGAGAAGTGGACAAAGAAGAGATTGATTTGGTGTTACCTTGTTAAACTTTATTAGAATTGTGATTTCAAAAATTCTAACCTTGTCAATGATTTTCATCTTACAAAATATTTTGTAAAGAATCTGTTACAAATTTTAAATAGAAACAAATTCAAATTTTTTCAGGGGGGGACCCCCTCCAACCCCCCCAACATGGCTTCGCGCTTGCGCTGCGCGCAAGACATCTTGTATTTTCCCAATTGCAAAGGAACAGGTGGTTGTAAAATGGAAGTAAAAAAAACACTGAGTTAAGAAGAAAGACATTATTTCCACAGAGAATATCATTGATTTATGTAAGAAGTATAAAAGTTCAAGAGATTTACTTGTACTTAGGGATCTATCCATGATTACTTTGTGTTATGCAGAATTTTTAAGGTTCAATGAGGTGAGCAATTTGAGAGGTACAGATGTTAATTTTACAGTGGAGCATTTGGAATTATATATTCAGAAAAGTAAGACCAACCAGTACAGGCAGGGGAACAAGGTCCTGGTAGCAGAAGGGGTCACAGTAGCTTGTCCATGTAAGATGCTAAGAAAGTATATTAAAGTAGCAGATATAGATTTTAAGGAAAAAGATTTTTTATTTAAACCAGCTTACAGATCAGGTTCGAAGTGTGCACTTATACCAGAGCAAGGGAGACAATTCTAGCAAGACTAAAGGAAGTGTGTGGTGCACAGACAAATTTAGGTTTACACTCGTTGAGAGCCTCCGGGGTTTCCACAGTGGCTAGATCAACAGTTAACGAGAGGTGTTGGAAGAGACATGGTCGCTGGAGAAGCGACAGGTCTAAAGATGGTTACGTTGAGGATTCTGTTGAGAAGTGGTTAACCAAGGCTTTAAATTTGTAGCTATTTATTTTATATGATTACATTATTAAAATAATTTATGAATCATATAGCACTAGTAGTCGGTCATTCAACTTGCCCGTTCTTTGATTTTTCTAGCAGTCCTTCTGTGTGACAGGCAATCGCAGGTATGGTGTTGTTGGTTTATTGTAAGGTAGGACACGGTAAGGTTATTTAAGGACTTCCCACCCTTCGTTATACAAATGTTTTTCTTGTCGTATTTTCGTGTCGTCATTTCCGTATTGCGTATCGGGCCTTCCATTATAGTAGTGTAAATTATAGTAACACCGGGCAAACAATAGTACACGTGCGTGACAATGATATGTCAACACCCGATATCGAGACTTCACTTGGAAATGTGTAATCACACGTACTTCTAAAATAAAGCTTATGCTACAAAGACATTAATTAACTCACGGGAAGACACTGACATTAGATCAAACGACTTCAAGAAGGTCGTATATGAGGCATATGGAATGCAGACTGATGCGTTTTGTTTACCGACCTCACCTGTACGTATCACGTGCGAACAGTAGTTCACAAGCTCTTGGTCAGATTTACGTCAGATAAATCGTTTCGCATATGCAATTACAATAACTCTGTGAAAATAGTTGTTTGTAAAATATCAAGATCCCTATAAAATGCAACTGCATGTGTGCACGTGATAACGGCATACCATGCGATAGCCTATGATTTATGGTTATATATGTACCTGACATGTTAATATACCATGCGTAAGCGAGCTATGGAATGATGTTCAAAGTGTACATGATTGAGAGTAATTTTGTTCCATAAAAGAACAGTAAGTTGATGATTAAATATAGTAATTTAATTTATTTCCATCGGTTTTTGTAAAGTACAGAAAATAATTGTCATTGTATAAATTCTATCCCTCTGCAAAAAGTTCCGATTTATTTCAAGGTAGACAGCTCTCATCAGGATCAAAATTATTGTAAAATTTAAAATAAATCAATAATAAAGACTTTGTGAGTATTTGGTTCAATTTTTCAACCTTTTTGTGCGAAACTATGTGTCCTGTTTGCTTTTAGCTTGTATTTAGTAACTTTTATCCATACAATTTCAATGTTGTAGATATTTTATGATAAATAAAATATTTGTACGGTTGATTACCAATGTTTCTTTTCATTATTTCATTGTTGTAAAAGTTTTGAACAATGCCATACACTCAAAAAATGTTAAAGTGTTGAATTTGACACAAATCCAAATTTTCGGTATTTTTTACAAAAAAAATCCCCAGTTTATCAGAATGCTTAGATTTTCATAAAATCATCTCTACATATTGACATAACCATTATGTGAAACTTTCATTGAATTCTGCTGGCTAATTGCGAAAGGGTGGAGCCTCCTTAAGTGACAGTGTAGAACAGACGTGAGATTTTACCTGTACGCTAATATGGCTTGACTTGTATCAAAAGTCTTGTTAGCTTGATGAATTATTGTAAAATATTCAATCAAAGTACATGTCATCATTCTCGAGATTTGAAGCATTTTCTCACATTTTTCTCTACATATACATCTCCATGATCATCCAACCTTATGATATTTACAAGTTTAAATGGATTTTCCTGAATTGTGACTTTTATTCAGCTTGGAAAAAGAACATATAAAATGAGAGTTTTTCATCAGCTATTGAATGTTTTTTACTGAAATTTAGTGTGCATGTACCTCATATATGTTTGAGAAATATTGAAGGAGGATTTTTTTGTGACAGGGATTGTTTAATGTTAACAGAATGCATTATTGAATTTGATATACAGTTTGGTGTGGCAGCCATATTGGAATGACCTTAAGGATGGCCTCCACTGACCTACTTTACTATCGATTTCTTTATTATCAGTTTGTATGTACAACTGCAGGTCGAAACAGGTATATCTACGTATTGCTGCAGTGTTGGGCCTATCCAGAGCAGACATTTGTTGATATTACTAACTAGTCAGCAGCATTGTCAAATTCACCCGAACTTTTGACTTTAAGTTTTGATCAAACTTTTACAATGTCAACAGGAAAGTGACAGATTTATCAGCAAAGCTAGAGGGAAGTTCATCATGTGATTGTGAATCCCAGGACTGGATAACTATAGACAATGTAAGTGAACCCTCTGAAGTGTGGAATAGAAAACTTAGATTCATCATCACAGTAACCCTGTGACATCAGCGACCGTGAGGTAGTTATTCTACAGTGTTTTTACATTACTATAAATTCAACAAACATATACTACTGGATGGGACAGTTATATTTCATTTCTTTACATAACAAACTCTTATTTGTGAGTGTTTACTGATAACAATATCTTTATACAAGGACAACAAACATCTTCAAGGCTTCAACAAATAATTAAGCTTTTCATCAAAATGGCAACCCCTAAAATTCCTCTCCGTATTAAAGGTCAAACGACATGTATTCACCACAAGGGAAGACAGCTAGAAATGTATTGTGAAAAATGTCAGGAGCTGGTTTGTCTAAAATGTCTTTCCTCTATTCACAAAACCCATCCAGTTTGTGAGCTAAGTGAAATCACTTCTCAGAAAGAACCAGACATTATTTCTTTTATAGACAGAACAGAAAAAAATGACCTTGTACAAATTGGAAAATACATCACCACTACTGATACCCTGCTTAAAGACAACACCAGTACTTTTGAGAAGCTGTCAAAAAAGTTAAAGATACAAACAGATAAACTAAAACAAGAGCTGGACATGCTTACAGAACAGACACTCTCTCTTTACCACAAAATGGAAGAGGATAATACTAAGCTGATAAAGAAATACAAACAGGACCTTGAGATATACGAGAAGCAACTCAAACAACAAATTCAAGAATGTAAAGCAACTCTCCAGTGTGGTTCACACATACAGATTTATGATGCATATTGTGATATCCATTCTCCTTCACACAGTCTCCCTGTAAAACCTGTCCTGGATACTGCCAACTTCACTCCACACAAATATCCTCAAGATCACTTGAAAAAAGCCTTGGGAAAAGTTATCACCACAGGTCAAGGTCAAACTTTAACTGACCAGGATCGGTCAGTCTCAACATCTGGTGATCTGGGACAACCCTCTACACAACAACGGTCAGGAGCAAAAGTGAAGAAAACAGTGACAACATACAAACTACTGCCACAGACCAAGGTAGTGGAGGAGTTGTGGTCTCCATGTTACCACATTGGTTCAATACGCCCCACCACTGATGGTCAGGTGTGGACCAAGAGCAGAGATACATTAACTCTCCTGGACAGGAAGGGTAAAGTAAAACAGCAGGTCAAACACAATGTCTGGATCTATGACATCAGTCTGTCACCCACCACAAACACACTGTGGGTCTGTGATACAGAAAACAACATCATGGAGCTGGTATCCGGACGACGAACACACAGATTCAGTACCAAGGAGGTACCCGAGTGTATATGTGTTACAGCCAATAACCATGTCATTGTGGGGATGGCCAACAACATCTCCAAATTTACCACAGATGGTAAAATGGTGTGTACTACTAAGGCTAAAGGGATTGGGAAACCATTATTGTTTACACCATACAGGATCTCAGAGTGTCCTGTCACTCACAATGTGGCAGTCGCTGATTTCAGTAGTGAAAGTCATGGTGGTGATAGAAAACGACATGTTGTTGTGATGGACACTGATTTCAAGAAGCTGTTTGTATATAGAGGTGACATCCCCAGTACATATAAACCAACACCACAAACAGGAGGTGAACCATTTAACCCCTATGGTGGGGAACATTATCATAGGAGACTATTACAACTACAGGGTCCTACTCATCAGTGGAGGTGGTGAGTTCCTCAGGGTCATACACACAGACGCAGCCTTAACACGGGCTGTAGGAATAGACAGAGAGGATGTCCTGTGGGCAGTGTTTGTGTCATTTGGTGTTAGCACAGTCAAACTACTACAGTACAGCAGTGTGTGACACCTGTAACTAAACAACTATCTAGTTACCATGACAATGACATGGAAATCAGGGACAAAGGAAACTTATCATGATCACAAATCAGCTAACGATGTGTGGCATTCACAGGATTATAAGTAAAATGTCGTCTAGACTACAGATTGTGTGACATTCACAGGATTATAAGTAAAAGGTCTAGACTACAGAATGCTGACATTCACAGGATTATAGGTAAAATGTCGTCTAGACTACAGATTGTGTGACATTCACAGGATTATAAGTAAAAGGTCTAGACTACAGATTGTGTGACATTCACAGGATTATCAGTAAAATGTTTAAATTACAGATTGCGAGACATTCACAGGATTATAAGTAAAAGGTCTAGACTACAGATTGTGTGACATTCACAGGATTATCAGTAAAATGTTTAAATTACAGATTGCGAGACATTCACAGGATTATAAGTAAAAGGTCTAGACTACAGATTGTGTGACATTCACAGGATTATCAGTAAAATGTTTAAATTACAGATTGCGAGACATTCACAGGATTATAAGTAAAAGGTCTAGACTACAGATTGTGTGACATTCACAGGATTATCAGTAAAATGTTTAAATTACAGATTGTGAGACATTCACAAGATTATAAGTAAAAGGTCTAGATTACAGATTGTGAGACATTCACAGGATTAAAAGTCAACATTCACAGGATTTTAAGTATAAAGTCCAGTGTAATGCCCGGTCGTCAGGTACTCAAGACTCTAAGCAGTCTGCCGTCTGTCCGAGTATCTTTCCTGACGATGCATTGTATAATATATATAAACAGATCCGACTGGTTGTTGGCTTGTGGCAAATTGTTCAGGAATGAATAAACAAAGAAATCAAGTTAAAGTGGAAATTTATTTGTAGACATTAAGTGACAAGTAAACAATATAAAAGTACACCAACAGCAGCCTGAGAGGTTACCTGTACAAATGTTAAGATGAGTTGTCTCCGTTTGACCAATTGACAATGTGATTTAATATAAACAAAGAGGCCCAATGGGCCTGCATCACTCACCTGGTATACATCTTACATTTGTAACCTTAAATGTTATCTTAAATAAAGCTTAAGGCAAAATATCAGGATGCAACTTTTGGTTATTCAGAAGAAGTTGTTTAACCCTATGTATGCTGCATTACTTTTCATAGTAAACAATGCAGCCACTGAATTAATTTGAAGATATTTAATTAAAAAAAATCAATTTTAAAACCTACTTTATTGGCATTAGTGTAGCTCATACCTATTCAAAACCTATATGTTTTAGGAAGATTGTATCAAGACCTATCTAATTAACCTTAGACATTTTTTGAAAAGTTCCTATAATTACCTGTTCAGGTGAGAGACAGGTAAAATATTTGATAATTAACAGAATTTCTTTGTAATTCCCTTTAATTTTCATTAAAATGCAGTACACGTTGACATTTGATGACAAATAACTCTTATTCTGATATCATACTTTATAACTAAGACATTACCTGCTCATATACAGCTTATAAATGCCCAGGTAAGACAGGTGAACTCAAAGAGAAATGTTCAGTGTCTTGTCCATTGATAATAGCTCATCGTTTGTTCATATTTTTTAAATAAAGACATTCACACACTTTCATATTATATTGATGTTTACTTGATATTAGTTCAATCAGTAATTTATATACATATAACCATGCAGGTGTGGTAATTACAGGTAAGTCAATGCTACGCGTTTTTGAGTCAGATTATGATTCTGTGCTTTCATTTTGGTCACAAAAACTTGGGTCTGTGTTAGAGAAACTGTTGTCAATAATTACAAAGGAAAGATCTCTCAATAATTCCAGTGAAAAGTGTCAGGCAAAATAATTATTCAAGTTCAGAGGCTGACATGTCGGTCCAGACTCCACATGGTCCCGACAAGACATGTCAAATATAATCAAAGATTGATACGGGCAAACGGATTCCGATTTATGCCGCGATTAGCCCTACATTGGTAAAAAAAATACTGTTTGTTTCAATAACTATATTTGAAAGCAATTTGTCATACATGAAGAGTTAGAAATATTCCAAAGGCAATGCATCATTATCGATGTTCACTTTCAAACCTGCGTTGCCGATAATGGCGGAATCGGGTTGTTGTCAATTCTGTACGGTCTCTATCTCGCAGCTAGATCTCGCACAATATCATCGTCATTGTACAAATAAATCATATGGAATGTAGGATAATCATTTAACTCCAATGCTACTATATATCCCACTTCAATACCGTCAAAATTAGCTTCACTACCTAAATCCCCGAAGCATTTCTTCAAACAAATTTTGTTGGTCCGCCATTTTCTGCGAAGTACTTTCGTTTTATGAATAGCCTTCAATATGACCTTTGCTAACCTTGTAACAGACTAATCAACGCACTGAAATGATATGAGGTGTATATAGCATCCCCCTGACAAGTGATTTGATTGGTTCTCGGTCAAGCTGTTTAAAGGTTTTAAACATATTTGACCCTTGTGACCTTGAATATAAATCAAGGTCATTTATTTGAACAAACTTGGTACCCTTCATCCCAGCATGTTACTGGCCAAATATCATCACCCTAGGCCTCTTAAATATTCATCAGAAGTTGTTTGAATGTTTTTTAAAAATTTGCCCCCTGTGACCTTTAAAATAGATGAATAACATTTATTTGAACAAACTTGGTAGCCCTTCATCCCAGGATGTAACCAGCCAAATATCATTATCCTATGCCTCTCGGGTATTCAGAAGAAGTTGGTTAAAGGTTTTAAACAAATTTGACCCCTGTGACCTTAAATGGGTGAAGGTCATTTATTTGAACAAACTTGGTAGCCCTTCATCCCAGCATGTTACTGGCCAATTATTATCACCCTAGTCCTTTTGGTTACTGAAAAAAAGTTGTTTAAAGTAAAAAGTTGACGCCGGACAGACGGACAGACAGACAGACGGATGCCGCACCATGGCAAAAACCATTTCACCCCTGTGACTTTAAAAGTCCAATAAGGTCATTACGTTGAACAAAATCTATAGCCCTTCATCTCAGGATGCAACTTGCAAAATATCACTACCCTTTGCTTTTGTTTATCATTACAAGGTCATTTAAATGTTTACACATATTTGACCAAACGTAACCTTGAAAGTGGGTCAAAGTTATTCAAATTAAAAAGCATGATAGCCCTTCATCCAAGTATGCTACTTGTTAAATATCAACATCCTGCACCTTTTGGTTATTCAGAAGTTTATAAGTTTCAAACATATTTGACCCCTGTGACCTTAAATATAAGTCAATGTCATTCATTTAAACAAACTTTGTAGCCCATCACCCTAGTCTGCTACTGACCAAATATCAACATCCTGGACATTTTGGTTATTCAGAAGCAGTTGTTTAAATAATTTTTTTAGACATTTGACCCCTGTGTCCATGAATATGAGTGAAAGTCATTCATTTGAACAAACTTGGTAGCCCTTCATCCCAGCATGCTACTGACCAAATATTATCACCCTGGGCATTTCGGTTATTTAGAAGAAGTTGTTTAAAGTTTTTAACATATTTGACCCCTGTGACCTTGAATATAGGTGAAGGTCATTTATTTAAACAAACTTGGTAGCCCTTCATCCAAGTTTGCTTCATGCCAAATATCATCACCCTAGGCCTTGCGGTTGTTGAAAGTAAAATATTCACGCCGGACGCCGCACCATGGCATAAGCTTACTTGGCCCTTCGGCATAACACCAGACTACAGATTATGAGACATTCACAGGATTTTCAGTAAAAAGTCTAGACTACAGATTATGAGACATTAACAGGATTATAATTTTGAGACCAAATGGGCCTATACAACTCAACTACCAATCAAACCTTTAAAGTAGATCGTATATAATACCACTCTATACCTGGGTATAGATAATCAAAGTTTCCATTTGCTTAAACACACTTGATAGATACAGGCCAAATATTATTTTAGAGTCGATAAAATCCATCAAAAAAACACCTAACAATCTTTTTGCACAATATACTAATTGGGAAAACTGACTGAGAAGTAGGTCAAGGATATTGATTCGAACAAACTTGATTTTACTTTCTGGTAAATCTGGCATTCTGCCAGCAAAATATCATGACCCATGCTAATTGATTAATCAAAAGAGACTTTTAAGATATTAATATATATGTCCCTTATGACCTTGAAAGTAGGCTAATGTAATGTATACGAGAGAAATTTCTAGCACAGTAGTATACCTGAGGTACCTACTGGGTGACTATCAGGACCGCCGGGGTCTATGTATAATGTTACTAAACAAGAGGCCCATGGGCCTAAACGGTCACCTGAGTCTACAGTATTTATTTTTGTTGTTGAAATATGTACCAATTTGAGTAAAAAATAGTATAATGTTATCTTAACTTTGTCAGGACCATGAGCTGATCATTCCTAGACCAGTTTTAAGTGAGATCGGCCTATAACAACTTAGTAGCAAAATAGCGGCCATGGCTGCCAAATTGTATTTCTGATTGACCCGAAAAATAACAACACTTTGTCAGGACCATGAGGCGATCATTCCTACCAACTTTCAGTTCAATCGGTCCAGCAGAACTTGACTTTAAGTTTGAAATAGGTTTTCAAAATGGCGGCCGTGGCGGCCATATTGGATTTCTGATCGACCCGAAAAATAACAACACTTTGTCAGGACCATGAGGCGATCATTCCTACCAACTTTCAGTTCAATCGGTCCAGCAGAACTTGACTTTAAGTTTGAAATAGGTTTTCAAAATGGCGGCCGTGGCGGCCATATTGGATTTCTGATCGACCCGAAAAATAACAACACTTTGTCAGGACCATGAGGCGATCATTCCTACCAACTTTCAGTTCAATCGGCCCAGCAGAACTTGACTTTAAGTTTGAAATGTAAAAGAGGCTTCTTGTAGATATTAACTCTAAAGTCCATGATGACATTTTACACTGGCCAACTCTCAAAGTTAACCTTTCACCTAAACAGAAAACTTAGTAGAAAAACATTGTACATTGCTGGTCCTATATAACATACCAAAGTATAATGGCTCTAGACCTTTTAGTTCTTTAGAAAATGCTGCTTGAATTAGCACTCCATCAAAGGTACCTATTAGTAAAATATCATGACCCTGGCCCTATGTTACTAAAGAAGAATATTTACATTACCTGTCATACTACCAACAAAAACATTAAATACTTATCAAAGAATTTATTTAAA